TGATGAAATGTTAATTTCATTTTTCTCTTCCACTGCTCCGTAAAAATGCATTCAGTGGATTCATCCTTCCCACTCTCAGACTAACACTTGAGCAGAATCCTAGGGACTTTTCTACTGAAGCAACCATTTCAAAGTCTCCCAAGAATTAAAGTGTGCTGTCTGGGGACAAAAGAAACTCCAATCTGGTTATAACAATAAATCTCCTGCTATGCTAGCGAGGCCTGCTGCATGCTGGACCCCTGTAGCAACCCTGCAGGACGTTGGCTGGCGTCTTTTCTCTTTCCTTATGCCCAACAGCTGGCCAGCTTCTCATCCCTCCAAGATCAAAGGAAGTGGAGGGGCTGTGGAAGTCCTATCTGGGAGTTGTAAATTAGAGTGAAATATGCCAGAACAAACCCCCAAAATCTGTCTCCAAGCAGCACACACCATTCCTTACAGCCTGGAACTGAATCAATATTTTAATAAGTAAGAAAGGAGTGGGACCAGGTATTTCCATCTCTGTTCCACAGAAAAGGAAATTTAAACTAAAGCAATGGTTTAAGACAGAGCAGCAGGAAAATTACTCTTTCTAATGATCACTTTCCAAAAGCTTATGTCTCATCCCCTCCTTTTTTATTAACTTTTATTGTTTACTGTCCTAACACTGACATATAATGTTGTGTGTGTTGTACATGTACAGAAGCTTTCTCAGTTATACATACACATCTATCTGCTCATCTTTGGATTCTTTTCCCATATGGGTTATTACAGAGTGTTGATAGACTTCCCTTGGTATACATAGGTTGTTATTGACAATTTTATATGTAATAACTTGTATTTGTTAATTCCAACCTCCTAATGTACCCCTTGTGCCCTTCTTTATTCTTTAGTAAGTGTAAGTTTGATTTTTAAGTCCCTGAGTCCATTTATGTTCTCTCAATTAATTAACTATTTTTAGATTCCATCTATAAGTAACATGATATTTTTCTTTCTGGACAAATGGAGTATATTTCCTGCCATATTTCTGGTTTCCTTTCTGGAAAAGGAATATTTCCTGCCATACTCCTGGTTCTGACTTTCTTCACTTAGTTTGATCATCCATAGTTTTAGCTATGCTCCTGAAAATCATATTTCATTCTTTCTCATGGCTGTTATATCCTACACTCTATACATGGGTCCTTTCATGTACTCATTTTCCTTCTACTGATGGCTCACTCGTAATTTGAATGTGTGCCTTGTTCAGAACTTTAATTTGGTTCCTTATTTTATTTTTGTAGGCACACATAGATGTCTAGCAGCGTCTGTTCATTTCCAGTTACTGAAGGCTTATTTTTCTCTTATATGTGTGTGTGTGAGTCACTCAGTCGTGTCTGACTCTTTATGGCCCCATGGACTATAGCCCCACCAGGCTCCTCTGTCCATGGAATTCTCCAGGCAAGAATACTGGAGTGGGTTGCCACTCCTTTCTTCAGGGGAAGATCCAGGAAGAAATGGCAACCCACTTCCTGGTCCAGGGATTGAACCCGGGTCTCCTGCACAGAAGGCAGATTGCCGTCTGAGCCACCAGGGTACAGATCTAATAAAACCAAGGAATTTGAGCACTAGAAAGGGCACTGAGTAATGAAATCTGACATTCCCTCACCCAGTGGGCAATCCCTTCCCCCGTCCTGACAGATCCCCCAGTACTGGCTTGATCTACTTCTGGAAGCAAACCTACTTTCTCTTCCTCAGATGTCTGAGGAATGTCCTCAGAACTGACCAAGGCTGCTTTTTCGCCAGGTGAAAAAAAAAATTCCCTGTTCCTCATATGGCCTGGTACTCAGACCCTCATCATCCCATCACCTTTCTCAGGTTCCTCTGAAGTTGGTCTCTGTCCTCTATAAAGGAGCCACCCTGGATATGACCCTGAGTAGAGCGGTCCCCAGTTCCTCTGACTCAAATGTCACAGGTTTGTAGATGGTAGTGGTTAAAGGCCCATGTGGTAATCCCAGCTCTACACTTGCTGCCTATATGATCTTAGACAAATTTCTTAATCCTTCTGTGCCTTAGTCTCAACATCTATTAAATGGGAATGGTGATGAGAAATGGAGTATTTCCTGCCATATCAGAAAACAAGAATGTCACAGTCATCAGCAATTGCAGCCACCACAGATGGTGAGCTGGTGAGCCTGAGGAAAGTCAGGAAAGAAAAGTCCTGCCATCTAGCAGCCAGCAGCCACTTCCTATGGTGAGCCCTGAGGAAAATCGGGATGTAAAAACACAGGATATTGGTCCCAGACAGCTGAGGTGCATATCAAAGGAATGATTTCAGTAAGCCCAGACTCTTGCATCTTCCCATACATAGACAAGCGCTAAATTCCTTAACTTGGAATATTAATTTTCTTTAGTTAACAATCATCGTTTGATATTATGACTACCTGCTCTTTGTTGCAAAAATTTACATAGCCTGCCCCCCCATGCCACCTCCTCAGAGCAGTTCTCTCAGGGTTACTTGAGATGCTGCCTCCCAGGCTTAAGTCCTAAAAATTTCCACCAAATCAAACATAACTCTCAACTTTTAGGTTGTGAATATCTTTAAAGTCAACAGTGATAATTACATTCCCTACTTCATGAGGGTGCGACAGGATTGAGAAAACAACTGTGAAACACTTAAAACTCTACCTAACACATAATCAGCTCCATGCAAATATCTATTTGCTTTGTTTTCTTTTTTAAATCCTGTTCTCATCACTGCAACCCATGTTTGCTCTTGAGCAGCTACTTTTCAGGTTGGCCTGGTGGGCCGCTGGGACCCTCAGGCTACTTCTCTCACAGGAACTGCAGCTTAGCAGAAACACCCCATCCTTTACTTATTTCACTGATCCCCAATGCAGAAGACCTTCAACCATACTGAGCTCAACATTATATCTCTTGCCTGGAGATGGGTCTTATAGAGGATCCTACAGAAAAATGTCCCCTCTATATCTGTCTCATGATGAGTGACACCAGGGAGGTGTAGAGATGGAGCCCTGTGGTGTGTCCACTCTTCCCACACCTTATCCTTAGGGACAGTATGCCTCTGTAAAGGCAGGACACACATCTATGATGTGGGTGGGAGGCAGTGACTGAGTTATTCATAGGTCCCTAGCTGTGAAATGTAAACAACTATAGCCACCTAGCTGTGAGGACCAAAGGAAGCTGTGCAGTAGGAAGCACACAGCCAAGTGGTCATCAGACCCACACAACATTAGAAGATCAAAAATAAAGGATTTGGAGAGGAATTCTGATTGGTAAAATACCTCAACACCTGGGGGCCTAGAGAAACGGGCAGGAGGAAGACTACATTTTCCAGAAGATGCTGATGATATTATTTGCCAAGTAAAAGATGACCCCACGATGAGCAGAGGAAGTTAGCCTGGAAGGAACAGGTTTAGGTATGCACACCCATGCAGAGGCAGTGCGATAAACCACACACACACACACAAAACATTCATAACCCAATACTTGTCCTTGTACATACAGTGAGTGCACTCTGATCCTTTCTCATCCCTTCTATTGAATTTCATGTTTTAAAAAAGGCTGGTGCAACTCACTACACTGATAGCATTCCACTGATGAGTCACAACCCACAGCTGAAAAACAGTAGATAACTGCGTGCCCCAATCCACAGCCCCACTAGGCTGCTAGAAAAGAGAAAAAAGTTCATTTGGCATACACTGATTTTGTAAATCCTTTCCCTGGTGCTTCTGAGCTAGCTTCTCTAAGAATTTGTTCTGGAGGGTTGCCAGGATTCAGTGTTTCCTTCTTTTGAAGTCTACAGGCTCCGCTACCATCTCTCAAGCCTGCTCTGAGGGACTGTGAGTTGAGTTAGGATGCCTGCTACTTGAACCTTAGCTCAGTTTCAGGGTTTCTGGATCCTCTTAAAGGGGTTTGGGCTGCCCGCCTTTATCGAAAAAAAGGAAGCAGACTGGGGCAACACTGCCTTCTCCTGTCACCTGTTAATATCACCTCATCCTTCATAAACACTGGGTAATCTTCCTGATAAGAACACAACTGTTTGTTGTCAGGCACTCCAGCACCTGGCTACCTCTCCTGCACTCTGGACCTTATTCTTGTAGCCTTGGTCTTTCTTGCCTGCATTTTAGGTGATGCACCCCCACTGGATCACAGTCTTAGATTCCAGACCTCGCTTCCCCACTGTTAACTGGGGGATTTGGCTGGGAAATCTTATTTAATATCTCAATCTAATTTTCTTCACGTGTAAACTGGAAATATGATCGTCTACCTTTGGGATTTTATCAGAATTAATTTATACATGGGAGTTCCCTTCTCCTCCCTGGAGTAGCAGGGAGACTTTCCCCAAGCTCCCTTTGCTTTCAGAACACAATTGCAGGCTTCGATTTTGTTAGATGAAATCCAGAGTATCATCTGCGATTGCCCGTGTTATCTAAACCGCGGCGGAAACCACAAAGCCTCCGAACAAGTTTCTAATGAGGCGTCTCTCTTCCTCAATTAAATACACAGAAACGATGGGGTAAAAACCGAACCCGGTGTTTCCCTCTAAACAGTAGAATGACCTGAAGGCAGGCGCCTGGGCACAAGCAAAATGAATTAACAGCAGTCAAACCCGCGTTATTCCGGGAGCCCAGCCCACGGCCAGGGGCGCGCACCCGCCGCGCGTTCCGCCGGGACAGGCAGGTCTCCCGCGCTGGGTTGGGGGCTCTCTCGGTTGCTGGGGACATCCGGACTGGCCGGCCAGAACAAGGAAAGTTCTCCCCCTGCCCCGGCGGGAGAAGGTGTGACCTATCATTGAGTGCAAGCGAGACCCACCACCCCAGCCCCGGGCGCCGCGCTCTTTGCTTTTTCGGAAGCCCTCCGACAGGACGCGCACAGCAATCGGCTTCCAGGAAGGCTCTGAACTTGGGTCCACTCCACGCGTCCGCACTCTCGCCCCGGGCACCCTCGAGCAGCAGATCTCTCCTGCCCACTCCCTTCCACTCAAACCACCCCCGCCCGCAAACGAAAAACCACCCCCTCGCAACCTCAGGAAGCCCGACCGTCCGTGGGAGCCAGAGCCTCAAGCCCCCGAGTCCCGTGCCGCCCGCGGTTACCGGCTCCTGCGAGGTGCGTGAGCGCGGCCGCCGCCTTCAGCTGTCTGGCCGGCCGGGCGCTCCCGGCGCTGCGGTGCGGCGGGGACGCGCGCTCCCGACCTGCGGCGGAGGCGGCGTGGCGCCATCCCCCCACCCCCACCGAGTTCAAGGGCGCCCCGCCGGAGCAGCCAGCTCTGCCGAACGCTCGTGCCCTGGGCTCGGGGGTGGCACTCACGCACCGTCTGGATGACAGCCTGTCGCGAGGAAGCGAAAAGGACCCGAGCGCATTGTTAGCCCTCCCGGGGCTCGGCAGTGCGCTCCCTTGGCCGACTTTAGGTAACCGGAGCCCGCGAGCTGAGCGAGGAGTGAGGCGGTCTAGGAGGGGCTTAGGAAAAGTCCTCAGTACTGGGTTCAGGTTCAGTTACGCTGGGACTGGCCATCGTGAGCTACTTTAATACCTCACATTGTTCTCCTCATGCCTGCCTGCACCGGGTCTCCCAGACAGGGCCCCCCAAAGATGGGAGCGAAACAGGAGTGGTTTCAAGTTAGAGACCTAGTTCCCTCCTGCCTTCCAGTAAATACTTATTGAGCCCTTATTCCGTGCCGGTCCCGATCGGGCGATGGGAAGCAGCCCCCTGGGGCCTATATTCCAGGGAAAAGACAGGCAATCAACAGAACAAATAAGAACGTGTCCTGTGTTGGATTGCGACGAGTGCTACAGAGAAGAAATAACTCAGGAAAAGGACAGAGAATGTTGATGATGAGGGATTCAGTATTAAAGCAGGGGACTGGAGATGACCTCCCCGTAGGCTTACCTTCAAGTTCAGGAGGCCTGGCGCCCTGAAAGCCAAGTGGAACCAGCGTTGTATTGCAGTGGGGTAAATGCAGAGAGAGCAGCAGGCAGGCAGGTTGGTGACTCTGATTAACTCCATCTCTTGGCGCCAGAAAAGGATTCCTAGAAATGACAGCTGATTCTTTTTTTTTTTTTTAAGCTAGTTTCATCACTCCATGTAAAATGAAGTGTTTTGCAAACCACCCTTCCAGCTATATTCCTCAACCTTGGCCATAGGCAGTTTAATTCTAAATGGCATAATGTGACCATCTGTGATGAGATGCACTAGTCCTTCTGTAATTCTCCATGTTGGTTACACATTCCTGGTCACCAGGAAGCAGTCCGTCGCCCGCACAGAAGAGCCCGTACTGCCCCGTTGATGGTACAGGATGCAGCAAATGCAATCAGAGCACGGAGCCTCAGAATGACTAGTACTGAGAGGACATGGTGCAAACAGGCCCATCTCTGCCTTAGCTGTCAGAGTTGGGTGGTGTCTTTTGGGCAGAGGGCCAAAGACTCCTGAAAACAAGGGCATCTCTTACTGTGTGGAAAAGGCCACTAACCCTCAGTTTTGGAGGCTGAAACTGCAGCATTCAGTGGGAGCAATATCAACAATGGTACGGCAGAGCTCCCGTCACTCTCCTGAGCATCTCTGCCTCCCCATCAGCGCAGTTCAGTTACTCAGTCATGTCTGATTCTTTGACTCCATGGGCTGCAGCAGGCCAGACTTCCCTGTCCATCACCAACTCCTGGAGCTTGCTTAAATTCTTGTCCGTTGAGTCAGTGATGCCATCTAACCATCTCATCCTCTGTCANTCTGCCTTAAGGTTGGTATCATCTGTGTATCTGAGGTTATTGATAGTTCATGCCTCCCCATGGCTGCATCTATTTCCTTCTTCCTTCTCCCAGTGTCAGAAATATCTTCCTCCTTTTCTTCAAGGTCCATCTCAAATGCCACTTCTTCCAGGAACCCTTCCTCACTGCCCCAGCTACAAACGAACTCTTATTCTAAAATCTGATCCCTCTTTATGGCACCTGTCATTTTAGAGTTTAACTCTAAAATAAGGTCCTCCTATTCCTCCATAGGCTTGTTTTATATTAAATTTTTCCACAAGTCCCAGCTTAGTGCCTTGTAACCAGCAGACATTTAATGAGTTTTTTGTTAATAAATCTAGAAGAACACAGCTTCATTTTCCCTTTTTAAGTTGACATATAGTTAATGTACAATACTATGTAAGTTACAGGTATACTGTATACTGATTCACAATATTTAAACATTATACTCCATTTATAGTTATTATAAAGCATTGCCTGCATCCCCCATGTTGTATAATATATCCTTGTAGCTTATTATATATAATGGATTATACCTCTTAATCCCCTGTCCCTGTATTGCCCCTTCCCCTTCTCTCTCCCTGCTGGTAACCACAAGTTTGTTCTCTGTATCTGTGAGTTGTTTCTTTTTTGTTATTCAGTATATTCACTAGTTTGTTGTACTTTTTATATTCCACATATAAGTGATATTGTACAGTATTTGTCTTTCTCTGTCCACTGTCCCTTAATTTTGTCACTTCATTCCATAACACCTTTCAAGCTCACAGAAGTTTAGTGATAGGACTTATATATGGCCATAGCTGTTGTCTGTCAATACAAACTGACAACAATTTACTTTGAAGTCAATTCAATTTGCCCCATTTTGAAGTGGGAAAACTGAGGTTTATGAGTAATGTCCCCACCATGAGACTTGAGTTGAGATTTAAACTCAGCTCATTGCCAGAGCTGAGATTTAAACCCAGGGCTGTTTGACTCCAAAGTGCATGCCCTTCACCACAAACTTATGCATCTCCTCACTCAGTCATGTATTCACACATGCATTCATTCATTGAGTGATCAACAAATGTTTCTATTTACTGTACTCAGCTCTGCAGTAGGTGCTGAGATAAAACAATCAGACTTTAGGGTTAGAAATCTTATAAAAGAGATGCATAGGGGCCCTACAGGAGTGCTTTGTTGAACGTTAGGCGATGACAATAGGGATTCACTGAGATAAAATGTAATTTTAATTTTGGAGGATACATCATATTTGATAGAATGATATTAAAGAAAAGCATATGGTAGAAGAGTGAAGAGCACATGCAAAAATATGGAAACGTGAGAAAATGTGCATTCAGAGAAGGGCTTCAGCCATTCAGGAAGGCTGCAGCATAGTGAAGGAGGTACTGAGATGGGGCTGACAAGGTAAGCAAAGCAAACCACAGATGGTCCACGCATTAGCTCCATGGAGTCAGTTATCCCCTGAACATGTACAAAAATCATGGATGACTAAGTACAAAAACTTTGTGCAGGAGAGGTTTGTGATCTTTAGTTAGAATCTCAAAGGGGCTGACTGACCTGCAGCTGGGATGTAGGGAAATCAGTTCCCTTCACCATGGCCTCCTGTCCAATCCACAGACCACAGGCCATGGTAAGGGGAACTTACCAAGGGATTGCAACATCAGCCAGGATGCTCTGTATACCTGGGCAGGGGTGTAAGGCTGAGCCCTGCCAAATCACCTCAAAACATGCAGTGGTGCTGCCAATCCTGGGCAAGGATGGCTGGACCCTGACCCTCTCAGCATCTTCACCCCAGTATGCTCTCGAGACAAAAGGAGCATGTAGCTGACTGGCATCTTTATAGGAAGAGATTAAGACACAGAGAGAGACCAGGGGCACTCGTGTACAGAGGGACCACCGCGGGGAGAGGCAGCAAGAGGATAGACCTCTGGAAGCCAAGGAGAGTGACCTGGAACAGACCTTCTCTTTTCATTCTTCAGAGGAAACCAAGCCAGAGGGCCCCCTGATCTTGGCATTCTAGTCTCCAGAACTAGGAGAACAAAATTTTGTTCTTTAATCCATCCAGTCTGTGGTGTTTTGTTATGGTAGCCTTAGCAGACTCATAGGTTAACAAAACACAAATTCACACCTCAAAGATAAAACTTTTAAGAATTTCAATATGGTGACCACAGAGCATTAAATCTCAAATGAGACCCTCTGAAGTGTGGAGTTCCAGGCCCCATGCTGGCCACATGTCCATGATGCCAGATCTTGGAAATATGGGAACAATGATCTGAAGACAACTTGGGATTCATCAGCAGAGAGATGAGGTGAAAGCCATGAGAAGGGGTGAGAGTGCTTCCTAGAAATGTGAAATGAAAACACCAGAGGGCCAGTATTGGAAGCTAGAAAGGAAGGAGGGGATAGAGGGAAGAAGACAGAGAAAAAGCAACTAGAGAAATCAGGGGTGGATGAGAGGAGGAAGGTGACCCCTAATGGAGAAATGAGCACTAGGGTCTAAGGCTCAAGGTCATGGGACTAAGAAGCAAAGACCATTGACCTTTACATGAAGGTCATGTGGTGGAAATTGAGGCCAGGTTGCTGCTGGATCAGGAATAAGGGCTGCAGGTGCAGGCTACCCTTCTAAGGAGGCTGGGGGTTGGGGGTAGGGTGGGACTGCCGACAACCTTGGTGCAGGGCTATGAAGACCCAAGGGACAGGAGACTGAAAGCCAGCCCACACTCTGTCACTAAGACATGTCAGCCTGCAGGAAGGGCTGATGGAAAGTCTTCTGACAAAGACACCTAATGGCCTCACCTTGAATAATAGAGCTGCAGCTAGACCTTTGTGTGTTGGTGTATTTATTATCTGCATCCCCTCACTGGCTCCATGAGAGCAACAACTCTTCTGTCTCCATCTGGCGCTGGCAGCAATACTGACATATAGGAGGCCCAGTAACACATGTTCCAGAAATGAATGGGCTACAGAGTTAAGGGGAAAGTTGCTTGTGTTTTGTCTTTATTCTGTTTCCAACAAAAGAGACTTAAACCTGTTTATCGATTGAGAGCAAGGACCAAGAAGGAAGAAAGAAGTTGAAGGCAGAGTTGAGAGAGGAAATCATTGATGAAATAAGACACTAGAGAATAGAGTAAGAAAATCAATCAAAATAACAGCCAGAGGTTAAAAAAAATTATCTGAATTGCCTTTGAGAAATTCAGTCATTTGTTCATTCAGTGGTGAGCACATGACTTTATCCTGAATCCTACTGGGGATGGGGAAGTTTGGGGAAGGGAAGGATGGATACATAAGAACATGCACGAGAGACTCCCTCCCAGCTGTTCAAAATGATGACATCTGATTAAGAAATTTCT